GCTTGGAAGTCTGGTGGTGCAAGGCTGGGGACACCTATCCTCAACACAGGCAGGGAATCACTTCTGAGAAAAAAGAAGAGTGTGGGCCAGAGACGGGAGGAGGAATCCCAGGCAGGGCACAGTCTTTCCCCTTGTTATTTCTTCTCCCCGGTTACTGTTATTGTTATTGTTATTGTTATTTATTTATTTATTTATTTGGCCTCTTGGGAAAAATTCTCATCAGAGTTCCATCCAAGACTGACTCAACTGTTAACACATTTCTTCCCCCAAATGGCTGCACTCCATCTACTGAAACGCGTCTTGAGTCCAGTCTGTTGAAGGATAAAGAGACTATTACAGGGGAGACAGAAGACGGACATTGACATCAGAAAGCAAAGAAGAGTGACGGAAATATGGACACGTGCATGGCACAAATAGTAATGACTTTTATAAAGTAAAATTGAGGGAACTTACATGAAAGCTCATTTGATTTTCTTGGAGGTCCTGAAACTCACAAGTGTTCAAGAGTTACAGTATTAACAGAAAGAAAGGCTATTAAAATTCAAGAGAATTTGGAAAGAACTATCATCTTTTTTCACTCCCTTACATCATAAGAGATGACCCAAGCTTTTCTTTCAAACTCAGTATCTCTGATTTTGCTCTTACTAGTGTAGTTAACTGCAGATAAAAGTAATCCTTCCTCTCAAATCACTGTTACTGCACTGAGAGAAGTGGATTCTACATTCAAAGCCTTGGACAATCAAAACCCCCCACAAGGAGCAGGAGTTTTCCCTCTAGCACTTCCCGTCAGCTGCTGGAACAAGGGAAGAGACTGCCTGGTAAGTTCTTGCGGATTTGTTCCATGCTGGTAACCCTGCCCACCTGGCGGTGGCTAGCACCCTCATGCTCTGAAACCATTCAGGTCAGCAGAGCTGTGCAACTGCTGTGATGCCCCATCCTCGTGAAACACGGGTCTCTCAAAAACTGCCTCCTAATCGGCAGCCATTTCAAAATTCCAGAAAGTGTGGAAACTGTCTCAGACCCCTGGAGAATTCAGGAAAGACTGTTATTATGGGAGAAGGGAAGGCGTAGGTACCCTGGGATATGCACGGATTCCCAGTTGGCCCCACAGTGAACGGATCTGACAGATGCTTGCAACCACACTTACTGGTGGAAAGACACCTTCTTCAAGAGGAGGTTACTGAAAAGCTGGACACATCTACAGAGAACAGCATGTGGTTACAATTGTGAGCACACGCTGGAAATCGCGAAGCTGAGAGGCAGGTGGCACTGGCTGTCCCCACCTGAGAAGCCAGGGGAGCTGCCATCCTGAGTGCTTCCCGTCCCCCTGCGACTGTCCCTGCAGGGGTACATAGAGGGAGGGTTCTGAAAGGTACCGGGGGTCCACCAGCACTCCTTTGACAATAATTGGAAATCTTTGGGGAACGGGGAAAGGAGGGAGGGTCGTCCAGTCCGGCCGAAGAGGGGACCCCAGTGAACAGCTTGGGGTATCCTTCCAGCAATCTTCTGAAAGGTACCGGGGGTCCACCAGCACTCCTTTGACAATAATTGGAAATCTTTGGGGAACGGGTAAAGGAGGGATGGTCGTCCAGTCCGGCCGAAGAGGGGACCCCAGTGAACAGCTTGGGGTATCCTTCCAGCAATTGGCTGGGAATTGCCTTTGGCTCGCCCACCACTTCCTAAGGGCTGTTGCTTGTAAGTGGAGAAGCCCTCCTGGCAATAGAGACTCACTTCCTTCTGCCGTTTTTTATTGTCCCTTAAAGTGGCTGTTTTACATAAGATTTGGAAACCATCTCGTAGGCCTAAGGCTACACCACTAGTAAACGGCCTACTCAAACCGGGCCCCTTAATTTCAAAGCCGGAGCTCTTTCCTCAATCCAGCCAGTGGCCCAAACCCGCCAGCCAGAAAGCGGGGAGATGGGACCTTTTGTGTTTTAAATGAATTGAGATTAATTCGCTTTGACGATCCACAGCCCCAGGAAATAACGGAGAGTGCCGGGATGACCCTGTGTTTAACAACTTCGGCTCTGGCACCGCGAGCGATGACATTTGCGGGACCACCCGGCGAGAACTGTCGCCCTTCCGCGGAAGTGGCCCGAACTCGGTGTCAGGAGGGCCGCGCGCTCTTCCCAGATACCCAGATACGCAGCGCGTCAGCCTGGCCCGACCTCCCTGCGGAGCGTCGCGTTGCCCGCAGCGGGGACCTGGGCGTCCGGGACAGCCGGTTAGCCGGGGACCTGGGGAAGTCTGGGGAGCCGGGCGGCTGGTGCCCGTCCCGGGTCTTCGCGCCCCGTGCCCAAGACCACCGCGCGGACAAGCCCGGTGGAGCCCTGCACTCCCGGGAGAAGCGAAGGCTTCCCCGGACGGCTGGCGTGTCCGGGACTTCCAGCGACCGGACGCCACCCCGCAGGGTCTGGGCTGCCTCCCAGCGAATGCCAGCCCGCCGCCTTCGCGCGTTTAGGGCGCGGGGACTTCGGAAGACTCCAGGGTCACTGTCCACGCCCCGCCTCGCGTTCTCTTAGCACCGCGACACCCACGGACTTCGTCACGATCTCTTGCGCAGTGCGGTCGCCCTCCAGTCCCCGCCCCGTGGCATCGCTGACACAGGGGCCCGAGCGAGGCGGACTTCGTGTGGGCAGGGTCTCTCTCGGGCGAGCCAGGGGGGCGCGCACTGGTCAGGGCTTTCGAGTCACAACCATGGGTCACTCGGGAGACGTGGTATTGTCCGGGGCAGTCGGGGCTGCAGGGCCCAAGAGGCCAGAGGAGGCCGGGGTTGGTGAGATCCCTGGGGACCCAGAGCCCCTGCTGCTAAGACCACGAACGACTCTGAACGGGCGACACGGGCCGCACGGGGAGGAGGGATTCTGGGTGCGGCGCATTGTGGGCTCGGCGGGACCAGGGTGGGACGGAAGGCTGACCCCGGGGCGGGGACGTGGGACTTCGCTCCTCCAAGGTTGGCGGGGGAGGGGCTCGCCAGCGACACGCACCCCGGGCTCGGCCCCGACGGCATTTAAAGGGCGCAGGGCGGTGCCGGGCCGGCCGCACCCGGGCGCCGCTGGAG